GGTACATCCTTATTCGTGCATTGCATGATAAGATGATTCATGGTCTTCAGATCCACAACAATCCTGGATACCCCTCCACGGAGGTATCTGGATCATTCAGCTTTGATCTAATTTTCTTTGAGTCGCGAGGCAATTTAAGAGTAACTGTTGGCGATAGAACCATTGTCGATTGCGTTTCAAGGCGCCGACTTCATATCTGCAATTTCACCATCAGATAACTCCATTTCTGTACCTCGAGAAGGCTTTTGCAATAAACATCTCATCATCCTCTCTGATTTTTTCAAATCCTGGGAAATCCACCCGCGAATTGACGGGCACGTATCTTGGAGGTTAAGCTTCGACACTTGTCGCACACGCCAAACAATAGGAAAGTGATAAAAAGGCCCTTCCGGGGGGGCAGAATAAAGGAGAGTAAGAGATGGAGCAAAAGCCGCAATGAAATATTCTTCTAATTATCACAAAGTCGCGAAAAAAGTAAGCACGCCAGAAAAAGACATCGTGTCTCTTCGAAATACTTCTTAGTTATTAAAGAGTAAAGTAAAAAGGTTGAGATTGCCATCTATCGACTGAAGTAATGGATCGAGATGTAATGGGCCAGGCAGACGACGTTTACAGAAATAAACGTTACTGAAATAAAATTTCAAAAAAATTTGGAACTTGTTGCAATACTTCCACTCGTAGGGCAAATAGAAAAAAAATGCACTTTCATTACACAATTCGTGTACACGCACCGGCAGAAATGGTGTCCTCTGGCGTTCGACGCGCATTACATATGTATCATATTTTCAATATATCATGTTTTTTAAATTTATTTTGTTATATGTTCTTATATTTAATTGTAAATTTAATTTTGCAATCTTGCGATACAAAATATTGATTTCATTTGCACACTGCAAATTTATAAATCCAAAGCTATTACAATGAATCTCAAAATTACACGTAATTATACACAAAAATTTTTTACAGTATTAAAAATTTTTATGTATAATTACAACATAATAAAAGTATTATTATATTGGTGAGCGAGAGACACCGGAGTATCTCACTCGTAGGGAAAAGTGGGGGAACTGTGCGCATCCTGGTATTTTTTCAATGGATAAAGACATCACTATGGTAAAATTTTTACGCAGATCGTCCTCTTAAGATATAATTACAAAAGATACGACATAAATACGTTGCTAATCAATGAAATACAAAAAAGTGAAATCACTTTTCTTATTATTTTAGTAGTTCAAAAATAAAATATAAGTTGATATTTTTAATTTGTTTGATTAAAGTTGCATACGTTATAAAATTATGTTACTATGTGCATCTTTTGAGCTATTATTTATTAAGTTTAGTTAAGAAATGTTGAAGTAATCGTATTTCATATCGAGTCGCGGCGGGCAACTGTACGCAAGCGTTTTGAAATGAGCACAATTATCCATCTTCCATATACTATATGACTAGCACTAATTTTTTCGTTTTTTTCTTTGCATTATTATTTTATTTTGCCAAAGTCTATGTGTATTATTATTATATTAGTTTTGTATTTTTGCTTAATATATGTAATATATGTAATATATATTTAAAATATATTTAATATATATTTATATTGCAATATAATAAATATATTATATTTTCTGATTTCTTTGTCAACATTCTATAATGCATTCATTTCCTATGACTTTAGCTTTGCGTACAATTATCCATGCGTATAATTATCCGACGCGCGAGAAATTTTTTCGCTTTTTCGTTTTCTTCCTTTTTATCAAATATAACTTTATTGAATGAAAAATCTGTTCAATATGAGGATATGTGATGGTAGAAAAATGTTTATAGTTTCTATTTCCTAAGTTTCTAAGTTTATATACTTATATCGCTTTGAACTTGTAAAATCATTCCAGAACAATAAATTTCCCTTAGACACGCACAATTCACTCACTTTCCCCTACTAGTAATATATATGAGAGACAGCGAAAGGACACCACGAGCCAATATCACGTCCAATTACGTTTTCTCTCTCAATCATGCGCCTTGCGCTAAGGACAGAATATCGGAACGCCTCCCACTTTTCTCCCTTCGCACTGCTCGCCTTCTCCACATTTCCAATAATACGTACGTGTGCGCTTCGGTACGAATGTGTAGCGCCGCACGCCGAACGCCAGGGGACACCATTCCTGCCGTGTGTGTACACGCTATCGATTGACCATGCACAGAATTGTCATAGCCGTCATTGAAATATAATAATCGTGATCTTAGAAAACTCATTGCTCGGCGTAAAAATATTTAGCAATGTCTCGCGTTAAGAACGCTACGCGTTTCCTTAGCGCCGAGTCACTACCATGTCTCTGGATTACATA